GTGGGTCTTTGTGGACAAAGGTAGGGAATTAAATCCAACTGTAGAACTGGATTGATATAATGATTCTTATCATGGAATATGGCGGGACGGTCCCCCAAGTTAGTAGAATTGAATTTTAAAAGAATTCTGCATTGTTGTTGTTTAGTCGTTTAGTCGTGTCCGACTCTTCGTGACCCCATTGACCAGAGCACGCCAGGCACTCCTGCCAACATTCTTAACTCTTAATTCTTAACCAACATTCTTAATGCATAAATGGGCTAATACCATAGCTAATTTGTCCGGCCAGGCTTACTTATGTCCACCTACTTTACCTTGGGATGAAATGGGTAATCAAGCCTACAGTCCCCCCCCCCAAGCCTACTGAGAAGCTCAGTGTGTAAAGAGGTTGGAGGTGGTTGCTCCAGCTCATGCCACATGGTTCTCACAAGCCACTCTTGAATTCCGGTATCAATAATTCAGGAACTTTTACTACTTTGTGACTAACCCCGTGTTTTAATGCCCATGCTTGTGGAAAAGCACATGAACCTGACCTTTGTAGTTTGGAAGTAAACCATTTCAGGAAGTCTCATGCAAACCTATGCAGCTATCTCATGCTATCTAGAGTTGAGCCAAAGTTCATGCTGTGAAGTTAGCTTAGGATTGCCATAGGGTTACCCGGACATATACGGAATACTGCAGCTGACAGCAGTGACCGGGCGTAAAATCGGACAAATGTCCAGGGAAATCTGGGTGTATGGCAGCCTATGTTGGGAGTGCCGTTTTTGCCATTTCCACCCCCCAATAAAAAGACAAAACAGCCGTTTTTTGTTTTTTCTTATTCTTTTTTTGCATTTTTGCTCAAAAAGCTCAACAACCTTCGGCAAAACTGAAGAAGCTGCCATAGCATTTGAACACAACCCAGCAGTTCAAAAGCATGTCAAAGTGCAAGCAGATAAATACCGTATTTTTCGCCCTATAGGATGCACTTTTTCCCCTCCAAAAATGAAGGGGAAATGTGTGTGCGTCCTATTGGGCGAATACAGGCTTTCGCTGAAGCCTGGAGAGCGAGAGGGGTCGGTGCGCACCGACCCCTCTCGCACTCCAGGCTTCAGGAAGCTATGCGCAACCCTCGGGAGTCCAGCGGGAAGCCGCGCTGGGCTCCGGAAGGTTGCGCAGAGCTGCCTGCGCTCCCGGCCTCCGCGCAGCACTGCACAACCCTCAGGAGCCCGGCACCAAGCCGTGCCAGGCTCCAGAGGGTTGCGCAGACCTGCCTGCCCTCCCAGGCTTCCCGCAGCTCTGCGCAACCCTAGGGAGCCCAGCGGGGAGCCGCGCCAGGCTCCCAAAGGTTGCGCAGAGCTGCCTGCATTCCGAAGCCTCGGGCGCGCTTAATAATAATAATAATAATAATAATAATAATAATAAATTTTATTTATATCCCGCCCTCCCCTGCCGAAGCTGGGCTCAGGGCGGCTAACAACATTCTAAAACATTCATTATAAAATTAATCAAATCAAATTAAAGTCAAATTAATGGCAACCATCAAGCAAAATTCTGTGCAGATTGCCGATTGCCAGAGGAGGGGGTCAGGCTGCGCCCTGACCAAAGGCCTGGTGGAACAGCTCTGTCTTGCAGGCCCTGCGGAAGGATGTCAGGTCCTGCAGGGCCCTAGTCTCTTGTGACAGAGCGTTCCACCAGATTGGAGCCGCGGCCGAGAAGGCCCTGGCTCTAGTTGAGGCCAGCCTAACCTCTCTGTGGCCTGGGATCTTTAGGATGTTTTTATTTGCAGACCGTAGATTTCTCTGTGGGACATACCAGGAGAGGTGGTCCCGTAGGTACGAGGGTCCTAGGCCGTATAGGGCTTTAAAGGTTAAAACCAGCACCTTAAACCTGATCCTGTACTCCACCGGGAGCCAGTGCAGCTGGTATAATACCGGATGGATATGATCTCGTAGCAAAGACCCCGTAAGGAGTCTCGCCGCAGCATTCTGCACCCGCTGGAGTTTCTGGGTCAGTCTCAAGGGCAGCCCCACGTAGAGCGAGTTACAATAATCCAGTCTGGAGGTGACCGTCGCATGGATCACAGTGGCTAGGTCAGGGCGAGAGAGATAAGGAGCCAACTGCCTAGCCTGGCGGAGATGAAAAAATGCCGCCTTTGTTATAGCTGTAATCTGCGCCTCCATAGAGAGGGAGGTATCGAAGATTACACCCAAACTCTTAACGGACGATGTTGGCACTAATTGCACCCCCGCAAGAGATGGGAGTTGCCTCCTCAATCCCAAATCGCTCCGTCCCAGCCAGAGGACCTCTGTCTTCGAAGGATTTAACTTCAACCGGCTCCCACAAAACCATCCAGCCACAGCTTCCAGACATCTGGTCAGTGTATCTGGGGCCGAGTCAGGATGGCCGTCCATCAACAGATAGAGTTGGGTGTCATCGGCATACTGATGGCAACCCAGCCCAAAACTCCGGACAAGCTGGGCGAGGGGGCGCATAAAGATGTTAAAAAGCATCGGGGAGAGAATCGCACCCTGAGGCACTCCACACACCAGGGAGTGGCGCGATGACAATTCCCCCCCAAAGCACCACCCTCTGTCCCCGACCAGAGAGAAACAAGCACAGCCATTGAAGGACTGTGCCCTGGATCCCCACGTCGGCAAGGCGGTGGTCCAGGAGTTCGTGATCGACCATGTCGAAGGCTGCTGACAGGTCTAGAAGAATCAGCAGCCCCGACCCGCCTCGATCCAGCTGCCTGCGGAGATCATCTGTTAGGGCGACCAGAGCCGTCTCGGTCCCATGGCCAGCGCGGAAGCCGGACTGGAATGGATCGAGAGCCGATGTTTCATCCAGAAACCTACCAAGCTGTTCAGCAACCGCTCTCTCAATCACCTTACCCAGGAATGGAAGATTCGAAACCGGGCGGTAATTGGATAGATCTAAAGGATCTAATGATGTTTTCTTTAAGAGCGGACGCACCACTGCCTCCTTCAGTTCCCCTGGGAATATCCCGGTGCCAAGGGACAAATTGATGATATCACCCAGGGGGGCCCGCACCTCGTCTGGACATGCTCTAATCAGCCAAGACGGGCACGGGTCAAGAGGACAGGTGGTGGGCTTTCCAGCTTGGAGGAGTCTGTCCACATCGGCTGGGGAGATCCGGTCAGAGTGGTCCAATACTGGACCCGAGGACAGTCGAGCGGCCTCCAGTTCCTTTATTGTATCCAAATTGGCAGGGAGGTCATGGCGGAGCAACAGGACCTTCTCCGCAAAAAAGCTCGCAAATGCCTCACAGCTGTGTGTCGAATTGTTATTTAAATTTGGCTGTCCTTCAAGGGACGTTAAAGACCTAATTATACTAAATAATTGCGCCGGGCGAGAGCTAGCGGAGGCAATGGAGGCCGAGAAGTAGGACTTCTTAGCGGCCTTCACTGCCATCTCGTAGGTTTTCATAAAAACCCTATAAGATGTTCTTGAGGCTCCGTCACGGGCACCCCGCCATATTCGCTCTAGCCGTCTGAGGTCCCGCTTCATTTTCCGAAGCTCCTCGGTAAACCAGGGAGCCCGGTTTCTGCGGGGTCGCAGAGGGCGCCTAGGTGCGATCTCATCGATGGCTGCTAGGAGCTGGATATTCCAGCCCTCAACAAGCTCAGTCAATGAGTCGCCAGGGGGAGCAAGGTCCCGCAAGGCCTGACGGAATTTATCAGGGTCCATCAGCCTCTGCGGGCGAGCCCAAATTGGCTCACCACCTAAGCAGGGTGGGGGTGGAAAATCAATCCTGGCTTTCAGTGCGTAGTGATCAGACCATGGCACCTTCATTGAAGGAGACATGATCACATCTATACCGGCGCCAAAGATCAAATCCAGCGTGTGGCCTGCTTGATGTGTGGGGCCCGACACAAACTGAGAGAACCAGCGCGGCTCCCTAGGCTTGCGGATAGCAGGCTGTTCTGGGGGCTGGGGTCGGGGGAAGCTCGGGCTTCCCCTGCGCCAGCCCCATGCCTGGGGGGGGGGAAATAATTTTTTTTCTTTATTTCCCCCCCCCAAAAAAGCCCAAGGTGCATCCTATAGGGCGGTGCGTCCTATGGGGCGAAAAATACGGTAGATACTGCTCCGGCGGGAAGTTAAACGGCGTTTCCGTGCGCTGCTCTGGTTCGCCAGAAGCGGCTTAGTCATGCTGGGCACATGACCCGGAAGCTGTACGCTGGCTCCCTCGGCCAATAAAGCGAGATGAGCGCAGCAAACCCCAGTCGGTCATAACTGGACCTAATGGTCAGGGGTCCCTTTACCTTTCCCTAAGATAGAGGGAAGGTTACTCAAACAAAACTATTTATACTATATCTGCTCCTAAATCATTTCCTCAAGCTTTTTTATAATGTACATTACAGCGGTACCTTGGTTGTCGAACAGCTTGGCTCCCAAACAAATTGGCTCCCAAACACCACAAACCCGGAAGTGTTCCAGTTTGCGAACATTTTTTGGATGCCAAACTTCCGACAGGGCTTCCGTGGCTTCCAATGGCAGATAGGAAGCTCCTGCAGCCAATTGAAAGCCGTACCTTGGTTTTCAAATGGTTCCTGGAGTCAAACAGACTCCTGGAATGAATTAAGTTCAACAAGCAAAGTACATATATACTCTCTCTCTCTCTCTCTCTCTCTCACACACACACACACACACACACACACACACAGTGAAACAGTGATTGCTTAACTGCTTTAAACAATCAAGGTCAAGTATGAAGGAATTAGCAGTATAAGAACATCTTCAGAGTTGCCTTATTAGTCTTTCTGCAGCAAAAACAATACATTATTATTTTGGCAACTTAAAGACTATCAAATGTATTGTGTTATTGTGAACCACACAACACTTTAAAAGATGCCTGCAGCGTTCTATAGTGGGATTGTAGAGAGGTAGATCAGGGTGATAAGAAATGCAGGTAAGTGCATTGTTACAGTAACTCCCTCTAACAATTACATTAACTGGGAGAGGGTCTCCATGGCAACACTACCTATGAATTGCCCATTGTGACTCTGCTTTTAAATAAGGCATTGACTTCACTGTCTACTTTATACTCCCACAGGTTGCGAATAAAATAAGAAACCAGTTCAATGGCTCCTAAAAAGCCACCAGGTAAGTCCCTTCGGTTACTATTTTCTCTTCACAGGAACACAGAGATCTGCTGACTTGATATGTTCCCTCCAGTACATTATACTGTAGAGAATTGACAGAGCTGAGATATTTCGGGCTGTTGCTCAAAGTTTATTTTTATGTTGATCATATCTCATCTCATCTCATCATATAACATTACTATGTTCATGCTGTCTTTATATAGATAAGCCGGAGAAAGCTGAACCACCCGCAGGAGACAAGGCCGCAAAAGCACCAGGTCTGTATGCTCATTAGCACATGGAGGAGGAAGGAACAGTAAAGGAAAGTTATGATGGGGAAGACCAGAGTTAGGACAAGCATTTTCTATAGGACCAGGGCATCCACCAAGTCCAACTGAGGAGCAATGAACTTGAGCTTGTGTCCACCATCTGCTGCTGGCAGTGAACAGCCCCAGCTTGAAATGAAAGCTCTCCTTGATGGGCCCTCGCCCTCACTACAACTCATCCACTGGTGCAGCCCCTTCCACTTACTTGATGGGGGGCAGCCAGATGGAACTCCACAACCCCAATCTTCCCATGAGTATGCTGTGTCCAATCTACTCTGCTAGTTGAGGATCAACTTCTCGATGTGAAGTCTCATCTCAGCTCTACCTTTCACTATAAGAACATTATGCTTAGTGGGCAGAGTGGGACACTTAATCTCAGAGTCATGTGTTTGAGTCCCACATTGGGGAAAGATTCATGCATTGCAGGGGTTGGACTAGATGACCCTCGTAGTCCCTTCCGCCTTAGTCTATTATTCTATGAGAACATAGCAAGACCTTGCTGGGTCAGACCAAGGTACGTCTGGTCCCGGGTGATGTCTCTTCATGCTCCTGAGGCCTCCAGACAGGGAACACTGGCAGAAAAGTATCTTCAAGAAGCAATACTTCCATGCCAGATTCCTTCATCCACTTTACCTTCCAAAGGGTCTGGCCCCCTGGCATTTCACAGTGGAGCAACCCCCCACCATGGGTTTAGGAAGCTGACTGCCATATGTTGATCTAGATGGGTTGCCAGAGATTATGGGAAATTTCTTGACTGGGGTGGCACTGGGATGTTGTCTGTTGATGGCTAAAGCAGAATTTTCTCTCTTCCTGTCCATCAAGGAGAACTAACACCTTTGCAGGAAAAAGTGAAAAAGTTCTTCGAATCTTCATATTCCCTGTATGTTGGCGTAGTGCTTGTGATGGGCTCCGTTATAGGGGCAATAATGCTGACCTATCTGTGTAAGTTCCAGTCTTCTAGGAAAATATAAAAGGGTAATGGGCAGAATTACAATTCTCTCTTGCTTGCTTCATTTCAGTGGAGACCTTTAAAGGAAAGGATAGGTTCTGGTCTCCACTAAGCCCTTTCACCCCCTGATTTCAGTTGGTGAGATAAATATTTACTGTACTCTCTCCCATTGAAACCAGTGGCACCGTAGAGTTGTCCCTGAAGAAATGCTCAGAGACTTTTAACTGGTTTGTTAAAAAAGGCAAAGGACTCCAGACAGTTAAGTCCAGTCACATACGACTCTGGGGTTGTGGCGCTCATCCCACTTTACTGGCCGAGGCAGCCGACATTTGTCCACAGACAGTTTTTCTGGGTCATGTGGCCAGCATGATTAAGCCGCTTCTGGCAAAAGCAGAGCAGCGCACGGAAACACCGTTTACCTTCCCGCTGCAGTGGTACCTATTTATCGACTTGCACTGCATGCTTTCAAACTGCTAGGTTGGCAGGCACTTGGACTGAGCAATCGGAGCACACCCCATCACGGGGTTTCGAACCGGCGACCTTCCAATCAGCAGGCCCTAGGCTCAGTGGCTTAGACCACAGCAACACCCGTTTCCCAACTGGTTCTTCTGGGAGTTCTTCTGGAATGTGCCTTGCTCCTTTGTACTCAGGCGATTAACCCCTTCCTTGGATGAGCACACTGCAATCTTTACCATCTGTTGCGGCCTAGGGTCCTCAAATCGTAGAAGTACCCAAAGCAGCTACACTACCTCACGGATGAAGCAGGTTGGGGGCCAGACTGTTAATCTTGGGAGCCTGTAGAAAACCTTCCTAATGTTCATGGCCCAGCGTAAATATGTGCGTTCAGCTGTTCCTTTCTTGACAAATCTGGACTGTGAGAGTGGGGTAGACCCAACCCTGGTCAGCCAAGCCAAGCCCACCTGGCGGCAGCTATCCTGCTACTGAAAGAGACTCAGTCAGGGGGAGGCAGGGGCGTTCCGTGGGGGGAGGGGCGGCTGCACTGGGTGTCATTCCAAAAGGGGGGGCAAAATGCCGACCCCCAATCAGCAGTGACTCCCGGGGCGCGCCCTACTCACTGTGCACCGACCCCAGCGATATGCATCCCCCCAGGAAGCATGCCACCCCTACGGCCGCATTCCATGCCCCCGGGACGCGTGCCATGACCTCCGGGGCACACACCATCGCCCGTGGGTGGCACACCACACCCCCTGGGACGAGTGCTGCTCCAAGTACCAGAGCAGGTTGCTTCACCTCTGGGGGAAGGAGAGCTTCCCAAGGCTGGAATGCTTTCTTCAACTCCCAAGGGTATCGAGAGGCTGGAGTACCCACAGATGTCATGGAGAACACCTCTGTCAAGGGTCAAGTGGAGGGAGGAGGGGATTCTAGGTCTCGATCTCCTTGTCAAGATGAGGTAGCCATCATGTCCCTCTCCTGTAAGGGCCCGGTACCTTTGCAATTCAGAATACACACACACACACACTCATTCCTCTATCTATCTATCTATCTATCTATCTATCTATCTATCTATCTATCTATCTATGAAGATATTGGGCTAAGGACTCTAAATTAGATCTTGAGGCTTGAAAATGGACCTTCCTAGAGGAGAAATTCTTCCTTTACGAATTTTGGGAAGTGCATTACATATTGGAACTTATACGACAGAAGTCTCATTCCAAATGCAACTTAATCCCTTCCAAAGGGGTGCTGGGGGAAGCAAAGCTATTCTCCCACATGCGTTGAACAACTTTCCCCATCATCACCTTTAGATGTTAAGGAAGTGCAAAGGAGAGCCATATTTGAAGAAGGAACGACAAAGATTCTGCAAATGGTAGAAGACACCTTTCCGGATCTTTTTGAGGCAGATGGTAAGTCATATGTTACTTTTTGTCTGCGCAGGAGCTCCTTCCACAGCCCACCATGTCTTCTCATTACTCAGTTCAGGGAAGTCGAACAGGAATGGGTGGGTTGCCTCAAGCTCATTCTATTCTCAACTCCTCCATAACGATGGTGTGTGTGTGTGTGTGTGTGTGTGTGTGCCGTGTTGGTGGGAAAATATATTGATATAAGAAAGAAAATTCCTGAATTCCAAGATCCAAGTTTGGGGCAAGTACCCATTGGTGAGAGAACCCAGCAGAGATTTACACTCACAAAATATGCAGCAAATGTCAGCATGAAAGTATAGGCTGCTAGACCTTTAAAATAGGCTCTTCCAAGTGAGTTCCAAAGTTTCCCTCTTCCCCCAGCAAACAAGAACACACACTTGGTAAGTTAAAGAATGATTTGCTTACAAACTCTTCAAAGGTCAGAGCCAGGTGCTTCAGAAAAGGTGCACGGCAGGAAAACTTAGCTTAGCAACAATGTGGAGGAATATCCTAGAGTATTGGTACAGGAACTCAAGAGTGGCTCATGAGGAGCATGTGGCTGAGCTTGAGCAACCAGATCAAACCTCATCACATACTGAGCTTCTCAAGTAGCCTGGGGAAAACCAATAGGCTTGATTACCTATTTCTTCCCAATGTAGCTGAGTCTAGCAGGGCAGCATACTCTATGGCTTGAACACCTTAATGGATTATTTAGAGTTAAGCATGTTGGTTATACGAGGCTGATTAACCTACATTTTGGAGTTGCAGAGTTGGAAGGGATCACAAGGGTCTTCTAGCTCAACCCCATGCAGTGCAATAATCTTTCACCCAATGGGGGGTTCAAATCCACAACCCTGAGATTAAGAGTCTCATGCTCTACTGACTGAGCTATCCAGAAGCTCCAGGAAAGGACTGCAGCTGAGTGGACGTGCAAATGCCATTGTTGTTGTTGTTGTGTTAAAAAAGGCCCCGGGTTCAATTTTCAGCATCTCCAGGCAGAGGTGAGAATGACCTCTTTCAGAAGTCCTGCAGAGCCATTGCTAGTCAGCATAGACAATTCTCATCTAGATTAATGAATGGTCTGATTCTGTATAAGGCAACTTCCTAGGTTCCTATATATGAAAAGTAAATATTAGATTTTGAGAAACATGGCTGTTCAGTATCTTTACATGGCTGTTTGAGATTCCTCCCGACTTCAATTGTTGCCACTCTCTTAGATATCACAAAATTCAAGAAAGCTGAGAATATATCTGCAGCAATATCCGAAGAGAAAAAGAAAATCAGTGAACTACAGCAGGCTATTAGTAAGTTACTCAGAAACCACTTTTATTGGTCAAGGTCAAGGTGCCAGAACCTTTGAGGCAATAGGCGATTTCAGAGCCATTGGGATGGACTTCTCTTTTCCATTACAGGCTAGAATGGCACAATTCTGGTGCCAATCCTGTTTTGAAATATCAGTCAGATTAGCACAGCTGGAAACAGAGAATGGGTAGCTCTCTTCAGGTTTTTCAAGTGAGCACATGCGCAGAGGGCTGTAGGGATGAGCATACTAGCTCTGGCCCACTAGGGCTCTTCCCTGTGAAATTGCAGGGTGACGGCCTCAAGCTGTGAACCAGCAACATAGGGAAGGTCACAAGTTCTCTGTGTACTATGTACAAGTTCTCTATCAGGTACAGGATTTTAAATAGTATGGACACAGTCAAAAGGCCATGTTGTTGAGCCTATGAGAGCAACAGCTCCATTACAGTGGAAACCTAGCCAGATGGGCGGGCTATAAATATTTTATATTATTATTATTATTATTATTATTATTATTATTATTATTATTATTATTATGGATGTCTGGTTAATCCCATAGTACTTTTAGGAACAAGCTGGTGCATTAGCATGTCTGTTGAGGCATTTGTCCTGAGGGCCAAATACTGAACTTGACTCATGACTCAATGACCAGTCCCCACATGTCCTCCTTTCCATGCTAAGGGAATTCATCCTGAGCCTGTGAAGTAAGAAAAAAGTATTTTCTTTCCCATTACATCAGTAGTACTGCTTTTGTTTCCTATATTTTCTTTCCTACTGTTCAAATGGTGGGTCGTTCTAGGTTATTTGGTATATACTCTGCACTCAAAAACAGTTCTGAAACTGTCTAGAAGGAATTGGCTACAGCAAGGTCGCATTTCACAGGAGACCTGGTGGAGCTCCCTTGCACCTTTCAGTCTGTGTCTGGTACTTTTGGGCTGTTGACCCAAATCTGTTAGAAAGCTGGCTAGTGAATTTTTTAATGGGCGCAAAAAGAAAAAGAGGAAGGACATGAATGGTACTTCTCAGACCAAATAAGCTATGCGCAGATCCCTGAGCAAAGAAGTTATATGCTGACAAGGCCTCACTCCTCTCAGCAATCATGCTGCAGCATTCAGCACCAACTGCAGGTCAAGCACGAGGGAAGCCTCATATAGAGCATTTTGCAGTAATCCAGTCTTGAACTGAGCAAAGTATGAACTGTTGTGGCAAGGAATCTTGGTTGAGGAATGACCAGACCTGTTGAACCAGCTGCAGCTGGTAAAAGCCACTTCTAGACATTGGGGCATCTACCATGGCCCTCTCCTCTACCTTCCCCCAAAAGGGAACATTGGCAATGGCCCATAGCTGTTCTAATCCAAAGGGGCCAGAGCTGCTTTCTTTAGGAGTGGTCACACCACTGCTTCTTTCAATGCAGCAGGGACCACCCCCTCGTGCAGCAAAGCATTAACCACAATCTGGACCCAACCAGTCAGCCCCCTCTGATAGATTTGCTAAGCCAGGAGGGATTGGAGTTGAGGGGCCATGGGGTTGGATACATTGCTGCCAGTACCTTCTCCACATCAGCTAATTGCATAAGGTGAAATTGATCCCACTAAACATCCTCTATAGAGCCACTGGCTTCTTCAACTGGAGATGCAACATTTGGAGAAACAAATGAGCAACTTTATCCTTTAAGTGCGTAGCCAGCGGGTCCTAGTGGGTCTTTGAGGACAATGCTAGATTTTTTTCAGTGAGGGTGGTTCCCCCACCCAAGGTGCTCCCAAGGTTCCCCCTAATATCAGTGTTTTAAACTCTGCAGAGTCCTACAAGCTGGCTTCTACTACAACCTCACTTGTCCTGTCTCTCATTTTATTCCTCTCACATTCTGGGCATTGCTCAAAGGTGACATTCACCACAGGTTACGTGAGGAATGGATTGTTTGGCATGGAGCCCTATATATATTTGACTTCATTGCCACCCCAAGGACTTGGAAACAGTGCATACAATACTGCGAAAGGATGAAATACGATACAAGATTGTTATGTGTTGAAAGTGATGAGGAGCAGGTGAGCAGATCATGCAACAAATTCTTCAGGGACAATGGAAGAGTGTGACTTTGGGAGTAGATTTCAGCATCTGCCGTGGTTGTAGAGACTGATAAGGGACAGACATGAGACATGGGAAACCGGGATTTGAATCCCCACTCTGCCATGAAGCTTACTGGTCAGGACTGCCTTTCATCCTAACTTACCCAACGGGACTGTCGTGAGGACAAATGGGGGAGAGGAGAAGGTCATGCAGCACCTTGAGCTCCTTTGGAGGAAAAGGTTGCATATTATTAGTATTTATTTATTCCATTTATTCCATTTATTCCTTTATCATAAAAACCCAGGGTGGTGTACAACATTTTTAAAAAATTACATATTTTTCAGTGATAGAAACACAATAGTTCAGGATACAATTGTATGGGGAGACCAGGAATAATGAGACCTGGGGAAACCAGGATTTGAATGCCCACACTGCCATGAAATAATAAAAAAGCATACTAACAGACAGCCTAATAATAAAACAATCATAAATAACAGTCCTCTCCCCCACACTTTTACAGGCTATAGATTACTTTATAGCCTGGGGAAAGAGGAATGGTTTGCCCAATGCCTAAAGGCATGTAATGATGGCGCTAGGGAAGCCTCTCTGGGATGAACATTCCATAATTGGGAGCCACCACAGAAAAGGCCCCTTCTCTTTTGCAATCCTTCTCACCTCTCTGGGCCATTGTGGAGGGCCTTCACATGACAAGCACGGGTATGGTGGGTTCCTAAGGGAGAGGCAATCCTTAAGGTATTGGATCCTCAGCCATGTAAAGCTTTATAGGTCAACACCAGCACTTCGATTTGGACTACTAATCACCAGCCAGTGCAGTTGTGCCCTGATTGGTGGTACATGCGCAAACCAGCTTGTTCTGGTGATCAATCTGCCCATTGCATTTCTGCCAGCTAAAGTTTCCTGCTCCTCAATGAGACCAAGACCTAGGCATTTTTGCTCCTTCGTTTCCCCCTTATCTAGACTTGCTTCTGTTCTGTGATGTAGGCCTTTGCTGTATCCATAGTGAAGCCCAGACCGACCGATTATTTTATTGGAATTAACATGGTAGGCTCAGATTGGCGCTGCTATCAAAAGGGCTTTCGCCTGGATAAACTGTAAGTCCAAACTCCTCCTCATCTGGGAACTTTCATAACTAATAAGTATTTGAAGAGAGCCAAGATGTTTCTGTGTTTATATTGTTCTTTATGATGGTTTAATTTATAGACCAATTCGTTTCCAGAGAGCTTCAAAGTGGTTTACACATGGTTAAATAGAAGAGAACAAAATCCACAGCCAGGAAAAGGTGTGGCCCAGCCTGCAACACAACAAACCCTGGAGGGCAACCAGTGGGATTCACTCTCTGGTCATTGCTGCCACCACACCTTCCACTTCCTCCAGCACTCCAGAGGGAAGGGACCTGGGGTGCACCAAAGCAATTGCTTTTCAAGCTTCTCAGATGCTTTACCAGGCATGTCCAAAGTCAGGCCCAGGGGCCTAATCCAGCCCGCCGGTTAATTTAATATGGCCCATGCAGCAGTTTATTTTCTGGGGTAAAATCCTTAAAAAAGGTAAACAACTTCAATCCCCCCCCCAAAAAAAGACAACAACTTTGGTCGGTCCTCACGCACGTTCACTTCAAAATCTGGCCCTCTGAAAAATGTTTGGACACCCCTGCTTCAATCAGAGTGCAAAGGCAGCCCACACTCTGAGTGTTGGGAATCCTGGAAGCCAAGACCCAAGTGTGGGGTGAGTACTCTTTGATGAGAGAACCCCAGCAGAGATTTAAGATAGCAAAACATGCAGCAAATAAAGGTATGGAAATGTCGGCTGTAAACCCTTAAAAATGTCCTCTTTCCAGTGTACTCCAAAGTATCCCACTTTCAAAGGTTCTTCCCAATGTCGGCTGTAAACCCTTAAAAATGTCCTCTTTCCAGTGTACTCCAAAGTATCCCACTTTCAAAGGTTCTTCCCAATGTCGGCTGTAAACCCTTAAAAAATGTCCTCTTTCCAGTGTACTCCAGAGTATCCCACTTTCAAAGGTTCTTCCCAACTTCCCTAGCACAAACATAGAGCACACATTTAGTAAGTCATAAAATGACTTTCTGCTTTCAAATCAGATGCTCTGCTACTGAGCTGTGGCACTTGCCAATGGTAGACACCCCTCCCACAACCCCTGTTCCCTCTCTGTCTTCTCCTGCTTTGTTCTCTGAATGGACAAAAGATAAAGACTGGAAAATGCTACTAACAAATTGCCTGGTGGACCTGATTAGGACCATCCTCTTGCAAAAGGAGTGTATTAGGATTGCCCTCTCTGTAAGCTCTGTGTGCTGGGCCCGGGGATAACCCGAGCAACGTGGTCCAGGTCCAGTCCCGAATCAGTCTGACAGGCCAAGGCAGGACATGAGGCAGGAAACCAGGCAAGGTCAGGCTCAGGGTCTCAGGCAG